GAATCTGCCTCATGGTGATCCTCACCACTGTTTGTGAAAACAGCGTTTCTTCTGTTTGTGCATGATTTAACCCTTTTCAAGATGTTATTGAAATGAGGTGGGTTTCATGACTTTAGGATTACAAATGATGCTGCAGTCTCCACTATTCTTGTACAAATATCTTTGGTCACTTGTGCAGATATTTCTATAGTGTAGAGAAGAGGATGTGCCAGTTTTACATTACAGCATTTATTTAATGCTTCTAATTTGAGTACATTCTGCAAATTTATCTTCCATAGGAGCAGTAGCAAATCATATTCCAATGTGTTTCCCAATTCTATCAATGTCCCTTTTGTCATTACTTGCCGGCACAACAAGCTTTCTACACATCGATGTATGATATTCCACTGAGGGAAGAGGTGTCCTCCTGGCTCAACTGAGGGGGTGAACAACTGAAGGACATGGTGGACATTACACACAGATATTCTGTGGCATAGGATGAGCTACTAAACTTCTAGGATGTTTTAAAGTCCTCCAACATCTGTAATTGTTTTCTGTGACCAAGTAACGTGGGTCTGGAGAAGATGGGCCACAGTGACCTCTTTGACAGCTTTCTGTCAAGTCGCTTATCCAAGGGGAGCAAAATCACAAAGTTCCCAGATGATTTTTTTCTTCTCCCCTTTCCTCTTTTCTTCATAAATCTTCGTTTTGCTTTTATTTGACCAAACCAATCTAATGCCTGTTCTCCCTCCTATACAATGGTAAATGAACATGCAAATCGCTATCCCTTTATTTTTCTTCGATAGATTTCTGCAGCAGTTATGTCCATAAAAATTAGCCCATTTGAGATACATCATTGGAGTCAACAGAACCCTGCACCTTGTGCAGACCTGGACCCTTAGGGCTATTGGCTCATGTTCCTTTGGTTCTTCTATCAAATATCATTAGTAGAAACTGAACTCTTTGGCTTTTACCCACTATTATGGCTATAGTACATTTTCTCTCTCTCATCTCTCTCATTTTTATATGATGATTTTTTGCCATCAGTGGCACCAGTGTGGGTTCCTGGTTTTGATGTTATCGAGTGAACTTCTGGGATCGTTTTATGACTATATAGCAGTCAGTATTATATTCTTCTATTGGTGAAGATTTGTGTTGTTCCCAGTTTTTCCTTAGTATAAATATGAGATTAATAAGAACATTTTTGATAGAAGCCTTGTTGGATGCATTGTTCATTTAATGTGAGTAATCAATACAAGTAAGTGTGCTTCCTTTTCAGGTAGGCTTAACTTAGTGAGAAACTGCCAATTATTAGAAAACATGTTGTGCTAAATTGCAGTCCAACTAACATCACACAGCAATATCACACAAACTCTGTATGAGGAAGTGATAGAGGCAATATCTTTCAAAATCAGTTTTTCTATGTTTCCTTTCATTTTCTTGTGAACCCTTAATGGCATCTTTGAAGGTGGCTGTGGTCACACCAAATGTCACCACCAGCCTATTCAAGTCCCGCCGCAGAGCCATGGAGTGATATACCAGGGCAGACCAGCCCCGTCTCAGGCTCATAAACACCAAGCAGGAATAGATGCCTATGAAATGAGAAGGGTCAGATGATTCCTCGCTCTCTTGCCATGTTTGTGCCTCTCTTTGCAGGTGCCGTGTCGCTAAAATCAATTGCTTGCATTTATTTTGTCAAAGATAAAGTCAGACATTAGTCAAAGCTGTGAAAACAGATTTTATTCTGTAACTACTGACCAAAGCAGAAGGGGCTGAACTCCATCGCATTTGGGCAGAGGTGATGGCATTCTAATCGGAGTGAGGCAGGGGATAGGGCAGGGGTCAGGGCACAAGTGAAACATTACAAAATATTGGTCATTGTAAGCTTCTGCCTCATCCCGACAGCTGTATCTGCCGGTTGGCAATATTAGACGTTAGAATTCTAACCTCCCACAGAGACCGGGAGACAGAGATTCAGTCCTTCCTGAGGACGACACCTCAAAGGAATGGCTTTCAAATCCTGTGGAAAGACACACTGGAGTCCCTAGGAGATACACACATACCTCAAAGGGATGGAGGAAGGATTCCCTTCTTAGTAAGTGTTATAAGAAAGAACCTACCATCATCAGCAGGTATTGGCTAGAATTAAAGTAAGTTCCCCTGGCAGTCTTGAGCTTTTCTAGGTAGGCTTTGTCATGGGAGCCTAGGGTCATCCACGGGACATGGTCATATGCTATTAGAAGCCATGATAGAGTCTGATCATCTCTTAGCGCAGAGGTTTAAACTGAGTGTTTGTTTGCTGAGTTTGGTGGTTCTCACTTTCCATCCCCCCATTGCACGGCCAGGATTTTACTAGACTCTGACAAATGGACATGGCTATGGGCCATTTTCAGTGACGTTCAAGCAGCCTGTGCATTTCTATTGTGATCTGAATGAAAATAAAGAAAACCATGAGATTGAGAGTGGGCCCCACAATAGGTATGTGTTACCAACATTCGGGAGATAAACAAAAATATTTCTAGGCTTTGTCAAAATGGAAAGTGACTTATGCAGCCAGGATGAAATTCAAACCTACATTAGCAAAGTATACAGCTTATTAATATTATGTATAAGAAAGCCATGACAAAATGACATCCACAAGTGGCAATGGTAGGTACGGGTAGGGAGAGACTCCATAGGTCAAAATTATCCTCACGTTAAATGAAACTCCTACGTGTTGCTACAGTAAGGGAACGGAAGCCAATGTAATGCTGGAATATATTAATTGTCATGGGATAAACAGGCAGGACATGATGCTACATTTATTAGTCACTTCTATTGAGAGTATTTGTGAAGGTTAATTTTTGTGTCAGTTTGACTGGGCCAGGGAGTGCCCAGATATTTGGTTAGACGTGATTTCTCACTGTGTCTCTGAGGGTGTTTCTGGAGGAGACTGACATTTGAATCAGTAAACTGAGTGAAGCAGATTGCCCTCCTGAGTGTGAGTGGGCCTCATCCAACCCATGGACGGCTTGAATAGGATGAAGGGTTAAGAAAGATGTTTTTCTGCTCCACTGTCTTTGAGCTGGGAAGTCAGTCTTCTGCCTTTAGCCTTGGACTTGGTCTATTTTCATTCAGAATAAAATTTTCCTGGTTCTTGGTGTAATGAATGATTTTCAATTGAAACTTGGACTTTTGGGTATTATGTTATCAGACTCTCGATTTTATTGAAACCTTCTGCTTTAACTACCTTTTTCTGAGTCTGCTTCTGTAGGGAAAGGGGAGTGGCGCCATCTCATTGTAGCCAGGTGTGTGTAGAAATCCAGGTTTCTCACCTGACCTACCTCTGTTGACACCCTGAGTGGGGGGCCCGCGAGGACTGAGCGCGGGGATGAGGCCCCTTGGCTCGGTTGAACGGTTGGCAGGGAGGGTCCTACGGCTCCTGGGAGGACCAGAAAGGTCGGTACCCTGTCAAAGCCAAGAGCCCTGACGGCCGGCGCCAGGGATGAGGCCCCCACGCGGGGTCCACACTCCTGCGCGCCAGGGACTCGGAAGATCAAACTGCTGCAGCTTCTGGGACCCGGAGAGGGTCAGCCTGGCGAATCCCGCATACCGGCGCTTAGTTCTGGAACTGGACACCCCGCGGAAAGAATCGGGATCCCGGAGCCTGGTTATAGGTCTCCAGGGTCTTCATTTCCGGAGCAGGCGGGGGACCCTCAGCCCGGCGCTATCGCAATCTGCAGTCGTCTTGCCTGAGGGATAGCAAGTGCTTCCCTTTTGCCAGTAATTTGCTGGAGGCGCGGAAATGTGGAGATGCAGTCGAATTTCATTTGTCATAGGCAGCAATATGCAGTTGCCCGAAGCGGCGCCCAAGATTTTCGTGGATGTGTCTTCAAGGGGCGGTGCTCGGCTCCTTTAGCTAGAGTAGGGTCAGCGGGTTCGCCTCGCACACGAAAGGTGGCTTTCATAATGACTCTTTCTTTCTTTCTTTCTTTCTTTC